TTTTTTTTAGAGTTAGGTTAGAATTTAGGGTTAGAATTTATAATGAAAGAGTATACGTGGGTTTTAGTAGGGTTTATATTTGTAAATTGAAACCCCAGATTCCCAGCATCATCCCCGACAATATTTATTGAGTGGAACGAATTTGTCAAATATGATTTTCCATAAAGTTCAAACCAAGAGATCACCATATGGAACACTGATAATACCACCCTTTTTAGCATCATATACTATGTTTCCTCTTACAATTGTTTGTTTAACTGTACCATAAAAAGTTTTGCCTATATACGGAGTAACTTTGTTTTTAAATTGAATAATATCTTTTGTAATCTTTTTATTAGAAAAAAAAAAAGATTAATGTGCGAAATATATTTACATAAAAAGAACAGGGATGAATAAACTAACCGTAAAGGTTTCCTCAGGATTCCAGATTACAATATCCGCGTCATATCCTACTTTGATATCACCTTTTCTTTCCTGTAAGCCAACTTGTTTAGCGGTATTTTTTGATAACCAGGTATATAAATTATGAAAACTAGATAATAAAGAAGATTAAACATGGAAAAAGTGTATTTAATAGTTCATAAAGGAGTCAAACCTGCAACCGCGTTTTTTCGCTTCAGTCCATAACACTGGTAATCCAAATTGCAAAGTAGAAATGCCACCCCAGGATTTTAAAAAATCTCTTTCATCATCTTTTTTATCTAATTCTTTAAGGTCAGCTGTACATGGAGAATGATCAGATACAACATAATCGATTGTACCATCAAGCAAAGCCTTAATAATAATTAATCACGTTAAAATTAACATTCATTTTTACGATTTTTATACTTTATCGTCATCACAGTGTTTAAAATTCGATGTTCTCATGGTTCTCAAAGAACGTTCAATTTTTTTTAAGAACATTTATAGTTCTCTTATTTGAGAACATTTTAATCTTTCAAAATGTTCTCAAAAAAAAATATTCAATATAATTCAACATAATGAACTAGTGCTCCGAAAGGCTTATTCAATTCAACCTGAACTTAAATTGGTTGTATTTGGATATCTATAAATTTGTATTATATACTGTATAATTCTATTATTATAAAATTATTTTATAAAATTAAGTAATACTACAATAATTATAATTTGACTCGAGTAGGCATAGAGTCTTAGGGTTGGTTTT